AATTGCAAAATGGTCATCATAAATTGTGTTCATGATATTATAATAATCTCATCTAGACCAGAAGAGAGGTGAATTTTCTGCTGAGAACAGAGGAATTAATAGAAAGAATTTTGATATTGTTTTCATACACAAGAACTACAAGAAACATAGAGTTTGGGATTTGGAAAGGAATTTAAAGTTCAATCAGTTTAATGTTCTGATATGACTTTTGAAGCAGACTGGCATAATGAGTATTGTTGCCAAAGCTATAGATTTTTATACGCAGTCTCTAGTATTTAATCACTACATAACAATGGTGATAACAGAATTCATTAAGTTAGCTAGACCTGTTGATTTATCTTTTGCTCTTAGTTTGCTTGAAACCATCTAGATTTTTACATGTGAGGATGAAAATCTGCATGCTACCAACAAAAAGCACAGAAATGCAAAAAAACATGACACTGACTAGACCACAAAGTGGACATTTGTTTATCATGAGACCTGAAAATATAAGGTTGAGCAACTCCTTATTCACATTCACCTGGAAACATGCACGTCAGATGCTTCAAAGCTCTTACCCCTATACATGCTCATGGATGATGAGGAAAGCTAAGTGAGATTGAGTATGGATTTGGAAATTATAATAAAGTTTAGCAAGTAGTAGAATATGCAGAGTCCCAGAGGATAATGAGGGTAAATTATATATTAACACATATCCTCCACCTTTTACAGGGGAAGAGGCAACCAAGGTCATATAACTCATAAATAATAGACAGGGGATTCAAACTCCAACATTCTGAATCCAGAGCTTTGTTCTCACCCACTGAGCTGTCTCCCATGACACAGAAATTTATATGCACCTGTGCTGATCAGTAATAATGAGGTATTATAGCAGAGAAATGCACAGTCTCAGTGGTTTACAACAACAGACACTGATGTTCTGACTGCCAGGTCTGTGGGTTGACTGGGAATCTGTTGAGCTCACAGTCTCTCTCCGTCAAGCACAAAGCCATCTCTGATGACAACTACACAGTGTTTGGGCCACCTCTAGGCCACCAGGGAGGCACCTCTATAGTTTTTCATTCATTGTTTCATTGATCCTGACTACCTGTTAAAACTCGGTTTCTTTCATTTAATTGGCCTTGCAATTGGCACTAGGGAAGGTGGGTTCTCAGAGGCAATGTTTACATCCCTTTCCCTACTCTTCAGTTCTTATCAAATAGTTCCTCTGTAGCAGTTCAATAAAGTAAAAATCCCCTGGCTGATAAGTTCAGAGGCCTGTGATCTTGTTCATGTTTTGCCATTAGCTCAATTAATGCCTTTGATAAAAATCACTTCATTTCTCTGTTCATCTGAAGTGGTCTGATATAATTCAGGCAACTCTTCTTAATATTCTTTGGTTGCTGAACACATTCTTAAAAAGAAAATCTAGGAAGGAAAATATAAAATGATAAAAGCTGAGCTGCTGGGATGGAGGAACAGGAGGAAGGTGTGCTCCAGTTCCCATCACTTTGGTCTCCCTCTTTCTCTCCCCTGGGTCCCTGGGGCACCTCCTGGGATGCCAGAGGTTCCATGGAGAGCAGTTTGGAATCGGGTAGATCAGACAGTGTCTTGCGTCTACTTAGAGTCTAAGTCCCTGGTATCATTGTTTTCTCTTAAACCATATATTAAATAGCAATTCTTGAAAAATCAAATAAAAATTCTAGGTATCATTTATTTTTATTTCAGCCTACCGAAACAGAACATTAAGTAACTCATCATCTGGGTTTTAGCAATGGTTCTGCCATTTGTTAACTGGAGGAATTTTATTTTTTTTTAAAGATTTATTTATTTATGCAAACAAGAACTGGGGTGCAAGCCAGAGGTGCAGGGGTGGGGGTGTGTGAGAGGATTCACCAGAGAGAGTGGGGAGAGGAACAGGCAGATGTACTGAAATGCACTGCTGAGGGTATAGCGGGGAGACAGGAGAGGTCTGCTGCGCCATGTGAATTAGCTCCCTGGCCGCTGGGTATCCAACACATGCTGCAGTGGCTAATGATAGCTTGATAGTGCTGGCTTGAATCCTGCACCAGCAGGGAGGCCCTGGAGGAATTTTACTTAAGTCATGCAAACAAGCTCTGGGTTTTCATCTGTAAAATGAGGGCCTCAGTCTAGAATGTCTCTGAGGCCCCTTATGCCTTGCTCATTCTACAACTCCTTTCTACCAATCCTTCCCCATCTATTAGTGGCTCATTTGATAATACTTTCACGAAAGGACAGTTTTCATGGACAAATTACGTGGTAATGAGTAGGCGGGAAGTGTGTGCTCTCGCAGTCTGAACATACCCAAGCCTGTTTGTAAATATGCAAACTCCACATTCATCTTTCCAAGGCCCCATTTGTCTTTTGGCATTTCTGATGAGTAAACCAAGTCCAAACCAATTTGGAACGAGCGAAAATATGTTATCATGAGTTATTTGTTTTCTCAAATGATTGTCCTCACAGTCTCTATTTTCTTTCTCCCTCCCTCTCTCTCTTTCTTGGTCTGTTGTTTCTGAATAATTACCGGAAAGTTGCAACTCAGGGAGAACACAGATTTCAAACCAGTGGCAAGAGAGAGCTGATGATAATGGGTCAAATACTAGGGGAAAAGACAGAATCGGGGCGGAAAGATTGGAGAAGGGTACAAAATTGAATTCCTGAATTCTTTTTCCCCTTCATCAAACATTCAAGCCAAAAATATCCTCAGTGTCTCCTCCAGATGGAGAGAGAATGGTCTGTTTGCCATCTGCAGAGACAAAACAGCACAGTGTAACTGCAATTTAAAGGCAAAAGTCATCAGGAATAGACTTAAATAACGTATGTTGGAATTAAGGGATTTGGTGTAAAGCCTTTTTGCTAAGACTCTGGGGTGCCTCTGTGTGGGTGCATGTGGTTCAGACATTGAAAGCTAAATCCTTTACAGGCCAGGAAATAAACGTGGGGGACACTCAGGGACATTAAATACAAGATTTTAAATGAAAATCACAAATTACCAAGGAGGAGGTAAGGGAAATCAACACTTGGCCTGAAACGTTTGGAGGTTTTATGAAGCTAAAAATATACATCTTTCACTGAAGCCTAAAGATCTCCATTCAGAGGATGCGTGTGTTGCATAATTAAAGATCAGGGCCAACTGGAAAAGTCGGCTGAGAAAAATGCTGCTGAGCAATTGTTATTCTGTTGTTGGGGTCATTCTCCAGGGGGTGGAGTGAGAAATAAATGATGCTGGTGGTAGCTCACTGCTATCTTTGCCGTCACTGCAGTGTGCTCAGAAAGGCCAGGATTTTAGAATCAGAAAGACCCGACTTTGTATCTCTTTGCCACTAATCCTGTTCATCATCTGGGTTTCTCTGGGCAAGTTTCTTAAGCTATCTGGTCTTGGGTATCCCATCTGTAAGAGGATGGTTGGAAAACAGAGAGGGCCTGCAAGGAGGTGTTTCACTGTATTAATAACTCATTTAATCTCTGTAGGGTAGGGAAAAAATGTCAGGCTTTTCTGCCCTCCCGCCATCAGGATAGATGATGGATCCTTCCGGTCCTGAATGCATGCCTGATGGCGGCACCTGGAGTAGGGTGCGGGCATAGGTAGATGGGATTCACCTGGGCTGAGACTGGGCTTTTAAGGGCAGCGTCACGGGGATGCCAGCAGAAGCCGAGAAAGAAGCCGAGAACGAACAGAAGCTAGAGAGAAGCAGAGAGCAGGCCAGAGAGCCCAGATAGAGTGCGGATTTGCTGGGGGCTAGGAGGCCTACCAGCCTCCGGGCCCCCCAGGACCCCTGCCTGCCATGTGCCTGGTAAATCTAAATAAAAGCCCTGCAAAAGCCACTGAGGCCTCTGATGACTCCTTTACCCGGTCTGCTGGATCAGAAAACCTGCTCTGTGGCCTGTCCTGCCTTACAATCTCATAGATGCCTCAGGATGAAGGTATTGTTATTAAGCAAATTTTACAAATCAGGAAATTAAGATACAGAGAGATTAAGCAAATGGCTCAAGATCACACAGCTAATAAGCGGTGTAGTGATGAGTTGGGGTATTTAACCACAACACCTGGTAGTTCTGAGCTTGTAGGTGTGGAACCAAGCTTAGCTGAGGTTTCGCCATTTTGTATATCCTCCACCTTGATATGTTAGTCCTTGTCCAGCCGCATTCCGGAGATAGTTTCAGCAGTCACAACCCTCACTCCACTTGGTGACGAAAAAGCAGACCACCCCAGCCGCCAATGAGGGCAGTCCTGTCCATAAATGGGACAGCATCTCTAACCGTCCAATCAGTTTGAAACTGTAACCGCGCGCGCCCAAAGTGCCTTTGTAGTAGCCAATGAATAATTGCCAACTTCTTTCAAAGTTCCCGCCACTCGCGACCCTATAAGATGTCCCAGCTTCCTCTGTTCGGGGCTCTCGACCTCTGCCGTTGCATCGGTGCGTGTCGAGGGCCCGGTCTCGAGCCCATATTAAACTCCTTTGTGCCCTTGCATCGGTTGTCTGTGTCCTTGGGGGCTGCACTGGTCGACGTGGGCACAACATTTTGGGGGCTCGTCCGGGATCGACGAGTGCAGACCCCAACTGCCGAGCAACCGAAAGGAGTTCTAAAGCGCGCAGGTGAGTTCCAACACTCGCCCAGGTAAGCTTCAAGTCTGCAGACCTGTAGTTGTACTTAGTACCTGTATCTTTTGTACTTTGTACCTGTAGAAGCTGTTTTGTACTTAGTACCTGTATCTTTTGTACTTTGTACCTGTAGAAGCTGTTTTGTACTTAGTACCTGTATCTTTTGTACTTTGTACCTGTAGAAGCTGTTTTGTACTTAGTACCTGTATCTTTTGTACTTTGTACCTGTAAAAGCTGTAATTGTTTGCAAACCTGAAAATCTGTTCAATAGCCGGGTCAGGCTTAAGTGGACGCACTTGAAAGCCGCGGCGTGGACCGCGGGAGACGTCCCCGGACCACATGTTAGGAAGGCCACACCCTTTGCGGGGAAGCAGATACCCCTTTTGGGGGCTTTTGAAAAATCAGTCTTTGGCCTGTTTCTTGTGACGACAGCCACTGTACTTCTAGCATTTGTCATCATGGGTCAATCACCATCTACCCCTCTATCCGTTGTTTTACAGCATTTTAAAGATGTCAGGTCCAGAGGGTCGGACCTCAGTGTAAATATAAAAAATCCCCTCTAATCACCTTTTGTTCCTCAGAGTGGCCGAAGTTCGGAGTTGGTTGGCCCCCGGAGGGAACTTTTGATTTACAGATTGTCCGTCGCGTAAAGGAAATCATCACCAGTGAAAAAAAATTCGGACATCCTGACCAACTCCCGTATATCTTAGTCTGGCAAGATCTAGTCCAGAACCCCCTGCTTGGTTAAAGCCATTTTTGTCGTTACAGGCACAACCCGTACTGCCGGCTAAACTGCTTGGGTCCCACCCCAACACCCGTCGGCACCTGCGGTTATCCAAGATTCTACCCCGGAGGAACTTCTATTTCCACCACCCTATCATAACCCTTGTAGTAACCCTCCCCAACTCCTGCGGTCGGCTGACCACCCTCCCCCAGAGGCGGGCGGGGCTCGTGGGCAGGGTCCGGCGGCAGGCACCCGCTCAGTGAAGGCGAATTCCCCGGATTCCACCGTGCTGCCCCTGCGTGTGGCAGGATTGCCTAATGAGCAGGGCAACCAGCCCATGCACTACTGGCCGTTTGCGACCAGTGACCTCTACAACTGGAGAGCACAAAATGCACGTTTCTCTGACAACCCTAAAGACCTTGTTAATCTCCTAGACACTGTTCTATTTACTCATCAGCCCACCTGGGATGATTGCCAACAGCTCTTGCAGGTCCTCTTCACCACTGAGGAGCGAGATCGTATACTGACGGCCGCCAGGAAATTAGTCCCTGGAGAAGATGGCACACCCACCACAAACGCGGCCCGCATAGATTTAGTGTTTCCCTTGACCCGACCTGACTGGGATTTTAACCAGGCTGAAGGTAAGGAGAGACTCCGGGTGTACCGCCAGACTCTAATGGCAGGGTTGCGTGCAGCAGCCCGCAAGCCCACCAATTTGGCCAAGGTAGGGGATGTGCAGCAGGGAAGGGAGGAGACCCCCGCGGCTTTTCTAGAACGCCTCATGAAGCTTTTCGGCAATATACTCCTATGGATCCGGAGGCAACGGAGAACAGGGCCGCGGTGGTAATGGCCTTTGTTAACCAGGCGGCTCCTGACATTAAACAAAACTACAAAGAATAGATAGGCTGGGAGAAAAATCTATTCGAGATCTTATGGAGGTGGCAGAAAAGGTGTACAATCGCCGTGAAACTCCTGAGCAAAGAGAAGACCGCATCCGCCAGGAAGAACGGAAGGTAAGGGCGGCTGAAAACGCACGCCACACTCGGGATATGGCCAGAATCCTGTTCGCCGTCACTCAAAAGGACAACCCGGGTAAGCTACACCCCTCCCGCCGCCCCAGCTCCACAGGGACAGGCAGGACCCTACAGCGTGATCAATGTGCATACTGCACTCAAAAAGGACACTGGGCCAAACATTGCCCAAAGAAACGGGGAATAACCTCAAACAACCCCGCCGTTTCTGACACTCCTGTCCTGGTGCTCGGGGGCACAAGAGATGACAGTGACTAGGACCGTCAGGGCTCGACCCTCCCCGAGCCCCGGCTAACCTTAAAAGTGGAGGGGAGACCCGTTAATTTCCTTGTGGACACGGGGGCACAGCATTCAGTCCTCACGGAACCCTTGGGTAAACTTTCCGGTAAAACTTCGTGGGTGCAAGGGGCTACGGGATGCAAGCAGTATCCCTGGACCACGAAAAGATCTGTAGACCTGGGAAAAGGTCAGGTCTCGCACACCTTCGTTGTAATTCCTGAATGCCCGTACCCATTAATTGGAAGAGACCTTTTAACCAAGGTAGGAGCGCAAATCTCATTTGGACAGGAAGGTGTTGAAATCAAGGACTTTAAGGGCTCTCCCTACACGTCCTCACGATTTCCCTTCAAGATGAGTACCACCTTTTGGTGGCGCCAGATCACCCACCCCTTTCTGGGTGGTGGATGGAATCTTTCTCGAATGTTTGGGCAGAAACCGGGGGCGTTGGCCTGGCGTCCCACAGACCACCCATTATAGTCCAGCTAAAGCCTGGGGCTGAACCCATTCGGGTAAAACAGTACCCTATGCCTGCAGAAGCCAAGGCAGGAATAACGCCTCATATTCGGAGGCTATTGGACAGTGGTATCCTTAAAACATGCCATTCGTCATGGAACACCCCTTTGTTACCGGTGCGAAAACCACACTCGCAAGACTTCAGGCCGGTACAGGACCTCAGAGAAGTAAATAAACGGGTCATAGATATCCACCCCACAGTCCCAAACCCTTATACCTTGCTGAGTGCCTTGCCACCTACTCATGTGTGGTACACAGTATTGGACTTAAAAGATGCCTTCTTTAGTCTACCACTAGCACCCCAAAGCCAGGAAATGTTTGCCTTTGAATGGCAGGATGCGGAACGGGGCATCAGTGGACAATTAACTTGGACAAGGTTGCCTCAAGGGTTTAAAAACTCTCCCACCCTTTTGACGAGGCCCTTCATGAGGATTTAAGAAAATTCCGCAGCCGATTTCCCGAACTAACTTTGCTCCAGTATGTTGATGATCTGTTACTTGCAGCGGAAAGTGAGCAGGCCTGCCGAACAGGAACAGCCGAATTACTGACGGAACTGGGCCAGATGGGATACCGCGTCTCCGCAAAAAAGGCACAAATTTGCCTGCCCGAGTTACCGACACCCACCACCAAAAGGAGGTACGTGAGTTCCTGGGATCTGCTGGGTTTTGCCGGCTATGGATACCTGGATTCGCAGACCTGGCCCAACCCTTGTATGAGGCTACCCGGGAAAAAGTAACTTTTCAGTGGACTCCCCAGATGCAGCAGTCCTTTGAGTCCTTAAAGAGGGCTTTACTGTCTGCACCAGCCCTGGGTCTTCCGGACATTACAAAGCCTTTCCATTTGTTCGTAGATGAGGCAAAGGGCATAGCTAAAGGGGTGCTCACTCAGTCCTTGGCCCCTGGAGGCGTCCTGTGGCTTATCTGTCTAAAAAGTTAGACCCGGTGGCGTCCGGCTGGCCACCGTGCTTACGCATGGTGGCAGCGGCTGCCCTCCTTTTCAAGGACTCCCAAAAACTGTCTCTGGGACAAGTTACTTCCATAACCACCCCCATGCGGTGGAAGGAGTCCTCAGGCAGCCGCCAGAGAGGTGGATGAGTAATGCCCGAATCACGCATTACCAAAGCCTATTGCTCAACCCAGAGAGGGTCAATTTTTCGCCACCCACGGGGCTAAACCCCGCCTCCCTCCTACCTGCCCCTGACCTGGAGGCCCATCTAGACTGTGTTGATATCTTGGCCCAGGTCCAAGGGTTACGCCCTGATCTGCGAGATAACCCTCTGCCGGACGGACTGGTTTGGTTTACGGATGGGAGCAGTTTTATCCACGAGGGCCGAAGAGCGGCAGGGGCGGCAGTGGTGTCCATGCAGGAAGTCATATGGGCTGAGCCTTTGCCATCCGGGACGTCCGCTCAAAAGGCTGAACTAATTGCCCTAACCAAAGCTCTCACCTTGGCTCGAGGGAAAAATTTAACTGTGTATACTGACAGCAGATATGCATTTGCCACGGCCCACGTACACGGGGCCATATATCGAGAGCGCGGGCTCTTAACCTCCGACGGCAAAGGCATTAAAAACGCTCAAGAAATTATGGATCTCCTGGCAGCGCTGTGGCTACCACGTAAGCTGGCTATAGTACATCATCCAGGTCATCAAAAGGACTCCTCGACTCCAACTCAAGGTAATAAGCGGGCGGATGAGGCAGCACGCCAAGCTGCCCTAATGCCGGTAGATGCCCTGACAGTAAAACTCCCAGACCCAGGGGACCCGCAGCTGCCGGAAGACCCAGAGTATAGTGCTATGGACTTTGACTACATACAGTCTCTACCGGGTGCTTTTTCTTTGGGACACTGGTGGTACACCCAAGAAACTAAGGCCATCTTGCCAGCACACTTGGCCACTGATCTCATTCAGCGCTTGCACCGAGCCACGCATTTGGGAGAGAGAAAAATTCTAACTCTAATCAGGCAATAGAACCTCCATGTCCGGGACGCAACCTGTACCGTGCGACAAGTAGTGGCATCCTGCCAGTCGTGTGCCATGGTAAACGCCACCAAGACAACCGGTGAACCAGGAATGAGGCCGCGAGGAACGCGCCCGGGGGTCCATTGGGAAATAGACTTCACCGAGGTAAGACCAGGTAAATTTGGCTATCGATACCTGCTGGTCCTGGTGGACACGTTTTCCGGATGGCCGGAGGCGTTCCCGACAAGAGGTGAGTCAGCTCGAGTGGTAGCCAAAATCCTGTTGGAAAACATTTTTCCTAGATTTGGGTTTCCAGTGACCATTGGGTCAGACAATGGACCAGCCTTTGTCTCTCAGGTATCGAAATCTGTGGCTTCTGCCCTGGGAGCAGAGTGGAAGCTCCATTGTGCCTATCGGCCCCAGAGTTCAGGGCAGGTGGAGAGAATGAACAGAACTTTAAAAAAAACTTTAACTAAATTAACTTTAGAGTCTGGCGGGGACTGGGTGACTCTCCTTCCCTATGCCCTCTTCCGGGCTCGCAATTCCCCTTATCGTCTGGGTCTGTCTCCGTTCGAGATTATCTATGGAACCGCCCCCCAACCACACCGCACGGTGCGCAGTTAGCTTGTGATTTGCCTTCTGATTGTGAACTTTTTCTTTCTGTGTGGGCTGTACAGCAGGCTCACCAGGAGGTCTGGCCCCGCCTCAGAGCGCTCTATGAAGGGGGAGGACCTTCTCAGACAGCCCACAAATTTCAGCCTGGAGATCTTGTCCTTGTCCGCCGACACAAGACCGACGGTCGTGGCCTCCAGCCCCGGTGGAAGGGTCCCTACATCGTCCTCCTGACCACACCCACCGCACTCAAAGTGGACGGCATCGCGGCCTGGGTTCATCACTCACACGTCAAGACGGCACCAACTGACGACTCCCAGCTGCAGTGGCGAGCCCGGAAGCATCCCACCAATCCACTCAAGCTGACTCTTCAGGCGCTCCCGGCTACAACCCATCGCTCCCAGACCACTGCCCACGCCGTGAAAAATGACACCAAACTGTAATGTTGGCTACCTACTGTCCTTCCTTTGTTTTCTCCTTGTCGGGGCTGACTGGGATCCCTGCCGACGGTGCATCACCGAAGGCATATTCGGTCATATTCAGAGCAAGTGCTATGTTAGTAAGCGTGCTTGCAGCCTTAAGGGAGTTCCTCTGTTTGTGGCGACCCTGATTAAGGGCACCACCCATGGATGTCCAGGTACAGTGGGAAGGGTGGTCTGTTGGAAGCGTTTAAATCAAATGCCGCCTAAAAATGAAAGTTGCAATCACTGTAAAGAGGGGGGAGTTTTTCAGCCTATACCTTTGTTCATTCACAGTGCTATGAAAGGTCTACTGTTTATCAGTGCACAGAGTCCAATCAAACTTTCTGGACTGGTATATCCTTAGGAAATAACGCGGGATATGTATGCCCTGTCAAAGCAGGAAAACCCTTTTGTTGGACTCTGCAAACCCACTGGGGGATGACAGATGGTGGGGGTGTGCAAGACCACGCACGAAAGCAGGAAGTTCAGAGGGTTTTTGAACAAGTTGCCCAAACACAGGATCGGTGGTTCAAGCCGATACACATCCCAGGCCCGGTGGGTTCCCTTAAATTAAAAAAGACAGTACAGGCCATGTTAGACTCAGCCCTACAATTTTTAAACAAGACCAACCCAACCCTGGCCAGCGATTGCTGGTTATGTCTAAGAGAAGGACCCCCCCATTACACAGCGATCCCTGCTGTGTACAACTGGATTAATTGGACAAACCTAAAGGGCCCAACCCATACGTGTAACCAGACCTTGCCCATCAATAATGTCAAGCTCTCCCCAACAGTTGCTCAGATGCCATGCCTTAGTCACAATGGGACCTTAAGAGTGGGTCAAGTAAATAAGGTACTCTGCAGTTCAGTAGTCAGTGCAACTAAGGCGCCCAGTTTTAATGGCTCTGCCTCTATGTGCCCGCCGGCACTGGGCACTATTTTCTTCTGTGGCACCACAGCCTACCCCGTACTCCCTGCTAACTGGTCGGGCTTGTGCATTTTAACATATCTCATGCCCGATGTGGGAGTGGTCCCAGGCAACCAAAGCCTTCCCATACAGCTCATCCAGTCTGTGCCTGCCGGACATAAGCGGGCCATAATTACCCCACTACTGCTCGGCCTGGGGGTGGCAGCCGGAGTGGGGACCGGAGTTGCTGGAATTGGGACCTCTGTTAACCTTTACCAAAAAATTTCAGCTCAGCTGGTGGGGGACATTGGGCGGCTAGCAGATACAACCTTAGAGTTACAGTCTCAGTTAGACTCTTTGGCCGCGGTGGTCCTGCAAAACCGCCGCGGGCTAGATCTTCTCACAGCAAAGGAAGGAGGCATCTGTCTCTACCTGCGGGAAGAATGTTGCTTCTATGCTAACAAGTCAGGAATAGTTAGAAATAAAATTAAGCAATTACAAGAGGAACTAAAACACCGGAGAAAAAAACTAAAAGACAACAATGCATTTCTTTGGGAAGGCTTAGGAGGATGGCTGCCCTATCTCTTGCCTCTTCTGGGCCCAGTCGTTACCCTCTTCTTAATTCTGTCTATCGGGCCCTGTGTCATTAATCGACTCGTGGCCTTTATTAAACAACGGGTAAACACGGTCCAGTTAATGGTGCTGCGCTCCCAATATGCCCCCTTACGCCAATATAACTCTCCCCAACAACCCCTAAAACAGGACCCCTCCCAATACATAGAAGTGGAGCCCTGACTGTTTCCCCTCATCGCCCACTTTCAGCAGGAAGCAGTTACTGATCAGAACGACGCCCCTTTTCCCTGACTGCAGTTAGGGGCTCCATTCCCAAAAGGGAGGAATGAGACATAGGGCGAGTTAGGGTGATTAAGCAAGTTTCAGGAACAGTACAAAGAGGACCTCTAAGGAGTTTAGGAAGGCTTCAGGGATAAAAACAACTAAAGAAACATCTCTTGTTTAAGCAGAGTAATTCTCATTTGTGGCTGAGAACTTTTACTGGACCTATAACCCTGTGAATGAACAACAAAATGACACATAATGTGACTAAACGTAACCATAATTCTGAGACTGACTAACTGATAAAAGGCTTGGTAGCTGTGTTATTTTCTTAACTGACTAGCCGTTTTTTTCAAAAAAAAAAAAAAAAAAATGGGGAAATGTGGAACCAAGCTTAGCTGAGGTTTCGCCATTTTGTATATCCTCCACCTTGATATGTTAGTCCTTGTCCAGCCGCATTCCGGAGATAGTTTCAGCAGTCACAACCCTCACTCCACTTGGTGACGAAAAAGCAGACCACCCCAGCCGCCAATGAGGGCAGTCCTGTCCATAAATGGGACAGCATCTCTAACCGTCCAATCAGTTTGAAACTGTAACCGCGCGCGCCCAAAGTGCCTTTGTAGTAGCCAATGAATAATTGCCAACTTCTTTCAAAGTTCCCGCCACTCGCGACCCTATAAGATGTCCCAGCTTCCTCTGTTCGGGGCTCTCGACCTCTGCCGTTGCATCGGTGCGTGTCGAGGGCCCGGTCTCGAGCCCGTATTAAACTCCTTTGTGCCCTTGCATCGGTTGTCTGTGTCCTTGGGGGCTGCACTGGTCGACGTGGGCACAACAGTAGGAGAGGTTTGACAGCACCAACACAGAGGGTCGGATCAGAAACTCCTATTGGTATGTTAACTTTCTTCCTAATCAATCATGGATTTATTGACTAAACATTTATGAGGATGATGTGCCTGAAATAAAGCCAGATTCTCAGCACTTCTGACATCAGTGCTAACATAACTAAGGACTTTGTTTCCTTGTAGTTTCTTTTACTGGAAATGTTATTCTGACCGATGACCATGTAGCTCACTTCCTGGCCATCCAGGTCTCTGAGAGTGTTTTCCTAAATCCCTTAAATTTAAAACATCATCCTTCATTAGCCTCTGTCTCTTGGTTTTGATTTCTTCCTTTGGAACACACAAAACCCCTTGTCATTATTCTATTTTTCTCAAAATTGTAATCATTTCATTAGGGCAGGAATTTTGCTGCCTGCTGTAGTGTCAATGGGTGAATCAGGCTTTTCTGCGCCCTTCCAGCTACTGGCCTCTGTGACCGCACCTGTGGCTTTGCCCCCTCCCACGATTATGGACACCTGGGCCCAGGGAGCACCACCACGAGCATGTGTGCACACATGGTGCACACAAGGTGCACACACCTGGGCCTAGAAGGGAGCGGATAACAGGGTGGTGTCACTCTGATGGGGGCGGAGGGTAGCTTCAGTTGCTGTTTCCCTGCAGGCTGATTTCCCTGTTCAGCATTAAAGATTCCTTTACTGGTCTGCCCAAGAACCGGCAATGAACGCTCCGGCCTGGGAAGGTTGCTCAGCACTGGCTATGTAGGGTCAGTTTCTCAAAAGACTCAGCGAGGTTTCTTCAATAGGCAGAGGACGCCTCCTGTCTGCTTGCCATGGGAACCAGAGGTCAGTCAAGGCCCTGAGACTTGGGAGATCTATTACCTTCAGGTAAAGAATGCAGATTGTTCTGGTTGAGAGCAGGAAGCTCCCTGAAGGCTCAGAGAAGTTTGTGTTTCTGCTTAAGTTCTTCTCCCTTTGCTAATTGCAAAACTGATCTTCAGGTTCTAGGTTTCTGCCTTTTTCCTAGCAAAGGAATCAATCACTCCTCCTTTTATGTCCCTAAAGAAAATAGGGGAGGGAGGGAGGGAAGGAGAAGAAAGTAAACTTAGCAAGTAGCGAGTATTGTTAACTGTTCTTAAATATCACTAAACTTATCCCCCCAAGAGATGTTATGGAGAACATCAGCAAAGGCTGAAAACATAACATTTGAAACATTTCGGAAGAATCTTTCTCTCTCAAATTACTTTTATTTCTTGTGTATGGACAAAAAGGACTGTGTATGGGCCGTGTTCCAACGAGGTTTCCATATATGCTCAGAGTAACCCTCGCTCGTCCCCTGTCTGGAGGGTGACCAGAACACTTGCTCCTCTTAAACTCGTGGTGTAAGCAGCCTCAGGGCCTGTACCTCACATCTAAGTGAGCCCGGTCAGTTTGAGCTCCACAATCAAATGGGAATATTAAAAAAAGAAGTCCCCCTTTGAAGACTCAAGGCAGTGCAGATAAAGCCCAAAGGCTGCTGAGCTTTGTTTTGGATGAGGAATAGGGGGGCACTGTCATGCTCATGATTTACGTAATGACCTGCTTAAAGAAAAGTGTGACAGAGCAAGATAAGCCAACCCTAACTTTCAGAAACTTCTAAAGCACTTGAAGAGGTCACCGCACCCCTCTGAATGTCAGTTTTCCTCAGGAAAATGAGATTGGATGTACCCACAGGCTTTCCAGCTGTACCTCATGTTATGCCTCTTGGGGGGCACTGGTGCAGATAATGGGGGAGGTGGGGAGGCAAGGCTAATGGATGCAGGGGCTCCTGAGGGATTCCCAGATCCAGCGGAGCTTTCCCTTGTATTCAAGATGCCATTAAAAAGAAAGTCCAGCTGCTTTGAGAATCACAGGAAACACACTTAAGCTAAGAACCGTGTTCTTCTTTGCTGGCTGAGGCATTCAATTTTAGGTTCCTCCTCTAGAAATCTAAACTGAGTTTAATTTGTCAAAGAGATTCTAAATAACACAGCTGAGATACTAAGGTTTCAACATGAAATTTTCAAATTACTCTAAAATTCAATCTTTCGTTGTTTCACAGGATTCCTACCGACTCTCTACTATGATGAATCTGATAGATTAGGAATTCTATCTTTTTCCTGAGTCTACTCCAGCCCACTACTGAATTCCCCAGCAGAGAATATTCTCATATCTCGTCAATAAAACCTAAAAATTAGATTACCTTAGGACCTGGTAATTTGGGGTATCTTTTCTAAAGAAATAAGCGCAGGAACATAGGGTTACTCCAGGGAGCATTGTTTATACTAAGAGAATATTTGAAACAGCTGAAATGTTTAGCAAAAGGAATTGGATTAAAGCATTATAGGGACCAATGATGGAATATTCAAAAGCTATACCTAAAATATCATCATGGAAAAATGTCTAGATAGTACTATTAAGTTTTTTTAAAAGATTTATTTATGCATAAAAGAGCTGGGGTACAGGCCAGAGATGTGGGGGGTGAGAGGATTCACCAGAGACAGAGTGGGGAGCAGAACAGGCAGATCAACTGAAGTACACTGCTGAGGAGAGCAGCAAGCGAGACAGGGAGACAGGAGAGGTCTGCTGTGCCATGTGAGTAGCTCCCTGGCCAGCTGGGGGATCAAACTCGTGCTGCAGAGGCTGTGGATTTCATAGTGTGG